TTGACATACTGGAATGAGTCTGTCAGAAGATGGACAAGGTGATAAGCTGACGTAAGCACACAACAGATGACAAAAAGCTGAGAGAAATTGGCTGTTCAGACCTGAGATGACAGTGTTAAGGGTGAGATAGAGGGATCTTACTGCTGTCATCAAATACCTCATACAAATATAGAGAGAAGACAGAGCCAAACTCTTCTTGAAAAGGTAGGTATAGCATAAGAGATAACAAAGTTACAGGAGGGAAATTTTAATTAGATATGCAAATTATTTATTCATTTCTTTTGCAAAAGCAGTCAAACACTGTAAGAAGTTGACAGGAAAATTTGTGGTTTCATCGCACTTTGAGATATTCAGAACTTGACTGGAAAAAGCCCTGAGCAACCTCATCTAAGTTAGGCCTGCTTTGAGCAAGGATTAGATCAGATTACCTCCAGAGGTTTCTTCCAACCTAAACTATTATATTTTTATAATTTTATTACGTTAATTCAGAGAAATAACTAAGATTATCAAGAGATAATTTTTTGAACTTCAATTTCCTGAAAAGAGAAATACAGAATAAAGGCATCTTCTCTGGGATGAAGCATAAGGATTTTAGCTCATTTTAGTCATGAAGACAGTAATGATGGCTTATACCCATACTCTTGCAAATAAAAGAAGATGCATACTTAAATGTGAAATAAACAAATAAAACTATAAAAACCTACTGGCATCTATTAATGATACTAAAAGAGAGGCCTACAGCCAAAAGGAGATTTGTACTCTGTGTTAAAAAACAAGCCCAGCCTGCTTATTTATGGGTCAGACCTCCAAACTTTATTCACCTTCTGATCTTGATGAGAGTATTTGTCAACACTGATACACTCCTTGCTTCAGTTTTCAGAGCCAGCCCCTTGTTTAGGAATTGCTAAACTGACTGTTAGATCGTGTTTACCAAATAGCATCCAAGAAAAGACATTTCCATTCCACAGGAAGATGCATTTCTACAGAATGACACTCTTTCTCATTATCAAAGGCTGCATTATTTTCCAACATCCAGGCTCACTGAGATTCATGAACAAGTAACACAAAACTGGAGCTATATGTCTGACTTTGCTTCCTCTGCTATTTCAAGTACCACAAAAATTACAGTCAACAATTGTTGGGTTTCCCTGCCTGCAAGCCTTGCTTGACCTTGGGAGAGAAAAAAATAACTCTTATTTCCTTTTCCTTTCCACTCCCTTTTCCTTCAAACACTTCATATCACATACAAACCTGGCCCTGTATATATATTTACTTTTCAAATATTTACACAGATTTTCTGAAGGTTAAGAAGAAGTTTATTTGCAGTAATGTCAGCAAATACTAAACTATTTCACCAAAGATTTACACAACTAAAGAAAGAACTCAGGGGGACAGAAGATACTTGTCTTTCATATCCTGTACAATAAGGTTTAGGATGCATAAACTGAACCCAAAACTTTACTAAAATGAATTAAAAACTGTTGCTGGATTAAAAAAATAAGGAGAAGATATTAGTATTTCTTCTCCAGTAATGACAGCAGACAAACTGCATCAAATAGAATAAGTATGACCAACTAATAAACAGAAAGCACGTCAATTATCAAATTTCTACCTGTCATTGCTGGACCTCATGTATCAAGTCTGTAACTTTATCTAGTCTGCTACCTGTTAGCTTTATTATTTTCTTCTTAATAGAATAAATTTTATATGACAATATTTTGTGCCTCTTGCTAGGGAACTAATAGCTGTGTATGAATTGTTTGGCAAAGGGAATATAGTAAATATGAGATAAAATACACGTTTTTTAAATAAAACCCACAAGGAAACCAGTGTATTCAAGTCTCTTTCTTGGGTTTTTATGTTGTTGTTGTTTGGTTTTTTTTAAATTTGGATACCAAAATTCATTGTATTGTCGTGTATTCTAGACTACTTGTGTTCTGCATTCATCATTTGCACTATACAATAGTAGCATTGTATAATTGAATATAACAATGAATTACAATCTATTTGTTGAAACAGATAAACGCAAAACTACATTAATATGCAAAAGCATATGAGCAAATATATGAAGATGAAGGCAAAAAAAAAGTTTATGTTCTGTGAGATTCACTCAGGGAAGTGAAGCTGTGGTCAGCAAAGCAGGATGAGTCTCTAGGACACTTTAGCAGTTACATAAGCCTTCAAAACAGGGTTTCACCAATAAGCAGATAGATGAATTTCATTTCGGCAGGAATAACTGGGCTAGAGAAGGCACAGATCTTTGATCTAGTGGTTTTCCTACATCTTTAACTCATGCGTAACTCGTGATGCTCCCTGTCTCTTGATGAGGCAATATACCTCCTACTTCCTCTCAAATTTTTGAGAATGCTGAATAGAAATAACAGGTTTTAAGCAGAAAATGAAGCACAAATTCATAGAGAACATACAGAGATCTTTGCTGATCATGATAATGTTTATTCTTGCTTATAATACGTTTAGCTTGTATCTCTATCAAATCACAAATGACACTTTGCTTGGGGGACTCCTTCATAACTCTTCCAGAGGGTGAATTGCATGCTGTGTTGAAACTTGTGCTGATGAGACTAAACTATTGTTTCTAAGAGGGGAATGTCTCCTTGTGAAGACTTATATCTGAAAGGCCAGCATAAATTCTATGACTAACAATTAGGACCCTCTCTCAAAGATGGATTTGTTCTCCAAACATCAAAATGGCAGCCAGCCTACAGCTCTCCTAACATGGTTCAAGACACTACAAAGAGAAGATCCTTTCCACAAATGAGCACTTATAAGACAGACAAGGTAAGCAGAAAGATGTGCAAAAGCAGTTCCTAGTTTAAGGATTATAATCAAGCCCAGGTCTCACAGATTTTGTTTAGTACTGCATTTCTTTTCAAGTATCAGTAACTTTATAGTGCTTTCCAGAGAGAAAAATATGTTTAAGAAATTACTTTGCTAAAAGTTTATTCACTGCATTTCTTTCACATTTTTTTCTGATTAAGAACTGGTCTAAGAACCAAAATTCTTACACACACAGATTTCTAGGAGTTGGAACTAAGCTGGGAAAAAGTAAAAGAGGATTAAGGCAGTGCATGCAGCTTTTAAGGCATGTATGACAGCATTCTATAGTTAGAAAATGGTATCAGGTATGGATTTTTATTTCTGGATGCATGCCTGAGACATCAGTGTTAGTCACTGAGGAGACAAAATCCATGTAGAATTTGGGCTTGAAGATAACTGACAAGTGTACCTCTAGAACAGGGATGTATTAGGTAGAAGGGGAGAAATGTCTGATTCCAACATGTACTTTAGGTAAAAGAACTTGTAGAGAAAGAGAGGAATGTGAAACCTTTTCTGCTTCAGTGATGAGAGAGGAGTAAGGATAACACAGGGAATTTGTTGGTAAAATTACAAGATTGGATTCATGGACTAGTGACTACAAATATAGCAAGAAAATTGTTCAGCTTTTTTTTTTTTTTTTTAATATGGTCACAACTTTGCTCCTTGATGCATATTCAAATATGTAAGTCAGTATTCAGAATTTTAAATATGTTTTCACCAGAGTTATTAACTCAGGATTATTTAGTCTCCCTAAAAAAAGTAAAAAATAATAAAAAAAAAAAAGTATTTAGCTTACTAAAACAATCCAAACTCACTTATCGTTTCTGCAGATTGAAAATTAAGTACTTACAAATTCGTATTTATGCATGTGCTGGGAACATTTACAAAACAATGCAAAGGCACTGCCAGTTGTCTTACAGAGATTTTGGTTTCTTTTATGACATTAGGAAAAGGAACAAGGACAGTATCGCACGTTCCAGAACTTCTATGTTTACAAGTGAAATCAGTAACTAATCCAGCTTGAAAGGTTATAGATTTTTATTTCCTTCCAAGGAACAATGTAGCTATTTCAGTTAAATACCATTTAATCCCTGACAAAAATCTGCAAAGCCCTACATATTTAACATTTCTGTGGTTCAGAACTATAAAGAAAACACTGGAAAATCACGAGTTGTACAGCACCCTCCCACTTAAAATTTTTCTTGTCCTGTGTGATGGGCTGCCCCCTCCTTCTTGCAAGTAAAAGCCCTTAAACAATTTCCATACATTTTCATGCTGTTCCCAGACTGCGTACAGCCATAGCAGAGCCGCTTTCTCTCCAAGGATGTTTGGGGTGCTGCTTGCCAGACAGGGTTAGGAAGAGCGGCTGCCTGCTAGCAGTCAAGCATGACTCACACAACAGGCTGCATGTTCCGTATGCTAAACACGTGGTTTCAAAAGACATATGCAACCACCAAGTTCCAACATACCAATTAATTATCATATACTTCCTTTTATATCTCCCCGCTCATGTTTTGGAAGCATTATGATAATTATTTACAGCATGTTCAGTGCCTTGGGGTTTGCAGAACAGCTATTTAGACGCTCGGTTCCCTCAGTGGGCACAGATACTTAAAACACTTCCTCAACCGGTTTGGAGACAGGAGCCAGCTGCTCTGCCGCACCCCCCCCCCCCCCCGAAGCCGAGCACGGCCCGCTGCTCCCCCGGCATGCCCCAGCGCCCTGGGCAGAGACGCAACGTCTGGCGCAGGGTGCTGGGCACCGGGTGAAGTGAGTGCAGGGCCGGGATCTCCGCACAGCCAGCGGCAAGCTTAGCGGCGCCTCCGCGCCCAGCGTAGGCCGCGTCACCATGGCAATCCCCGCGGCAGGGGGCGGGGCCGCCTGCAAGGCGAGGTCGCCGGAGTGCAGAGTGCATGCGCTATAGCCCCTCTAACCCCGCGGTATCCCCGGGAACACACGGACGCTTGGAGCCGGCTCATGCGTAAAGCGGACTCGACGGCAGCCTGCGAGTCGCGCATGCGCTTCACGTCCCTTTCTCTCGTGCGCGGGTGCTTTGGTGGAGTGGGCAGCGGATCGGTATGGGAACCGGAAGCGGAAGTGTTGCGCTCAAGTAAACCGCTTTTCCCGTCTTGAGGCAGTCGGACCGTTCCCGTGCTTCCCGCCGTGCTCAGTGACGTCCAAGAGCTGGCAGGCAGCGAGTAAGCGGCCGCCGCCCTCGCTCCCTGGAGGTGCCGCCGGACCCTAGCCGCCTCGTCCGTCCCCCCCCCGCCCTCGTCTCTACCTGGCGACCGCGATGTCTGACAAGGAGTTCATGTGGGCCCTCAAAAACGGAGACTTGGATGAGGTGAAGGACTATGTGGCCAAGGTAGGAACAGGCGGCTGAAGGGCTGAGGAACGGCGCTGTGGGCTGAGGAGGGAGGAATGTGTAGGTGGGAGTTCTCAGGGCTCTCCGTCCGGGTCCTGACTGGATGGGGCTGGAGAGTGGTAGCCCCATCCAGCCTGATTGCGGGTAAGCAATCTGTGAGCTTTGCACTGTGGTGAGGGTCCAGGCGGTTGGGTGTGCTTCCTCTCCCCCTCTTTGCGGCCCTCTCAGTTTCTGGGCTTCTTCCTTTTGGACATTTCTAAGGTTGGCCTGGACAGGGTGCTGGGATGCCTACTCTACGTCATGCTTTGCTTAGAAGGGTTGGACCCGGTGATCCTTGAGGTCCTTTCCAACCTGATATTCTGTGACTCCTTTTCTCACTCATTGCCCTGCCCTCCTCCTGCCCCCCCGTCGACCCTTGTTCATGCAGGAGAAGTTGCTGTATGTCAGTATGCGAAATTTTCTGGGTTGACAGCCCTTATCCTAGTCTGCCTCGTTGATCTTATGTGTATATGCATATGTGTGGCCTCGGTTTGGTTATCCTTCCTCTCTGTGCCTCAGGGCTCATCCTTAATAGGGTGATGCTAAGCCACTGGGTGCGTTGAGGCTTAATTCATTAACCTTCTGTGAAGTATTTTGATATCTAGTTAGGTCGAGTGCTACAGGAACAGTAGACACATGTGTAATGGCTAAAAAGTCTTGAGGTACATTGTATGTGGAGGCTGGATTCTGTCCTCATTTGCCTTCAGTTGTTAATGAGATTTCTGGGGAATGTGCATGTACGTAAGGCCAAGGTTCTGCTTCAGTGAACTCTTAGTGTTCAGGAATATTACCTGGAATCTGTTACATCAGAGCAGAGATTTACATGTAATTTAGCTATAATTACTTGGATCTCTGAAAAAGCGAATTATTGTATTTGGGAGCTTGACATGTGCTGACATCTTGCTGTGGTGACTTAAGTTCTTCCTACTCCACTTGTCAACTTTGAAAGTTACCCAAGCTTGTAGCAATCTTGGTAAAAAGAAATATGTGCAAGTACTTCCACTGCTTTAGTACAAAGTCCAACAGCTTGGCTCGATTATTCTTCTCTGACAATTTCAGCTGAACTACTGGACTTTGCATCACAGTGGCTGCGCACTCACATGTTCTGCTCTGTCTCTAAAGTGCTAGAAGTAACAACTGGGAATACTATAATTCAGCAGTTTAAGGATTTTGTACCTCTGTCTAATAAAGTTGAGTGCTGCATTGATGTGTCTTACTTCTTCTCAGCTTTGGGGGCCTCCAGAGTGTTTCAACAGCAGATTTGGATTCTTATTACAGCTTTTACATGAATTCCATATATATCTAGAGAACTCGCTGCACACTACTGATTAATGGAGCCTTGTGTATCTGTTGCTGAGGCAAAAACTTTGGCAGTAACCATCTTGAGTCAATTTATATCTGCAAGATATAAACTGCAATGCTAATCACAAAGTGTTTTTTGTTTTGTTTTGTTTTTTTTTTTAATTTCCAATTTCCCACTCTTTCTGAGTGGTACTGCAACTCGTAGCAAATGGATTTGATCACTCTTCATCTACTTCAGTGCAAAGTCAAATACTTAGTTCCATCTGCTGCTGAAAGAAGCTTGAGCCAGCCTGGATGATGCTATAGTAAAGAGGCTGAAGGTCATCATCTAACTTCACTAATGAGGTAGAAATCCTTAAAAGAGAGACACTGTGGTTAGATAATTGCAGTAAATCAAACATTAGAATCCTTGAACAACATACACATTTGAGAGCTGCTTCTGATGTAGAAAGTGAGTAAACTATAGGAACTTTCTCCTCATCTGTGACCTAGTCTTGTTCATTCTTCCCTCTCCCACTTGCAAATACGCTTTCTATCATCCTACTTGCCAGTAGTGCAAGAACTCTAATATTTTCTTCTCAGACCAGTATGTTTTCTTGGCAGATTGTGGGCTAGTAGACACTTAGCCTGGTTTCCTGTGGAAACAAAGCTTATATGGGCAAGTTTTGACTGACCCTCTTCCTTCCTAATAGTTTGTTAAATTTTTTTTGGCTAATTTTTGTTAGACTTTATGGGGGTGTGGGTAGATTCTGGTGTGTTTTGCGAAAGTACTGAAGTAGAGGGAAGTACCTTAAGCAAAGAAAAGAGTACAAAAGTGAACTCATGTTTTGCTGCACAACAGGAAATATGCATTGAGAAGGGGCAAGAGAACTTTATAAATCCTAACTGTAGGAGAAATCTCAGAACTTGCATTCCTGGTTCCTAAAGTAATAAAGTATGTGAAGGCAAATCATGTTTTGATAGTTACAGGTCTCAGAAAAGTATCTGTTCCATGCTGCATGTTCTTTTTTGACGGTCTTCCTTATCAGTTATATGGCTTCTGCTCCCTGCTGCTTTCCTGTTCTAAGTATGATTTAATGTTCAGGAATTTTACTTATATAAACTTTGCAGTAGTAGAAATTTCCTCTCCCTGTGATGTGGGAGTCTTCATCTTCATAAAATTCTTTCTTGTCTGTCTTCCTGAAACTTTTGGTTTCCAGCTTCTTACTGGTTTTGTGTCTTGTTTCCTTATTAGTTGATAGGACACAATACAGCTTTTAACTATAATCTTGCAATTTTGCTGCCAATTACTAGATAAAGGGTTTGAGCTCTGATTTTTGTTTTGTATCTGAATGGCAGGGCTTGAAATGCTAACTAGATGACCTGAGGCACTTTAAAAATAATAGTTTAAATGGATGTCATCAGTGAGGCTATAAATCAGTCTTTGCTTTTCTTCACTGGTGTGTAATAAGCTGTGGAGGTTCTCTCTTGGAGTCATTATTATTTCTTTTTTTTATCTTGGATTTAGTTAGCAGGTACTAAGAGGAAGGTTCTCTCTTGGAGTCATTATTATTTCCTTTTTTAATCTTTGATTTAGTTAGCAGGTACCAAGAGGAAGGTATCTGTCAGACTTTGATTCAAACAACAGGTGAAACTTAACCTATAATGTGAAAACCATGTCATTGAAAAGAGGGGATTATTGTCCTTAAATAGGGAAAATTTCTGCCACTTCAACAGTTCTTGGACAAAGAAGGAATACAGAGGTAGAAGGAATTGTCTCTATTTGCATTTCATACATTTCTATGTAAAGAGATCCTGCATTCTCTTAAGATGCTTTCTTCAGAAAGAATCTTTCACAGAAACATATTTCTGAGGGGTAGCAATGAAACAGATAAATGACAAATGATACTGCTTTCTTCTTCAGCAAATTTTAGTCCTGCCAGACTGTGTGCATTTGGAAGATATTGTTGGTTTCTACTTGATAAAAGTGTGAAAGATTATCGTATACTTTGAATAGTCCTGTAAAACTTCTTAGGTTTTTGTAAGAAGCATCTTGCTAGACATGATTTTAAGTAGAGAAATGTAAAGACCACTTTTTTTCTGTGTGGTAAATATTAATTTCTACAGAAGTACTGTAGTTAGTGTGTTATGCTACCAGTTATGTATGGTGTCATCTATTTTTATGAAGACTAGATTAAAAAAATAGCTTTTACTGTTTGCCTTTGATGTCTTCCTTTTGAACACATCCAGCATATGTTGATTCAAAGGTACCTTTGCAGGAATTGAAGGAATTCTGCTCTCTTCCCACATACATCCACTCAGATTTTTAAAATTCCCAAAGAAAGGAGAAGCTTTCAAGGGAACAGATGAATCAAATGTGCAGTTAAATGGGTGAGGAGGATCCATGTGGGTTAGAGAAATTTCCTGTACTCAAGGGAGGGGATAGGGGTTGAAATGTACTAGTCGGAAGAAGATCAGGGTATATTAAGCCTAGAACTTCTTAATGCAAATGGTGTTTGCTCTTTTTCCTTTATCCTCCTCCCTCAGTGGAACAAGATAAGCTGTACAGTTGCCTTAAAAGACTTTTCTATCAACATGTACATGTAATGTTTCCAGTCAGCAGTAGATTTCTCAGGCCAAGTATAATTCACATTCAGTCACTGGGTACAAAGTTTTGAGGAAGATAAATGTGGATTTGTAAGGAAAAGGTTACAGTAAATGTTTGTTCTAAAGTAACTTCATCTCCCATAGCTTAACTGGAAATTCCTCACTTAACAAGCTGCTGTATTCTCCTACACCATTGCCTCCTAAACATACTGCTGCTTACAGTGATGTTTGGTAAATCAGCTAGCCTAATACTTTGAGAAGATAGGGCAGTCAACCAAACTGGAAGCACCGGGTTTTTCTTGCTGAGAGGACTGGGGGGTTGGAGTTATGGTAGATTGTAAGACATATGTGTTTTTTATTATATATATGCTGTGCTTGCATAGTAAGCATTTATGCTGTGAAGCCTTGGTTTTTACATAATAAAACAAACAGCTGAAACAAAGCCAAATCCCTAGAGGACCTTCAATAACTTAGCTACAAAACAGCATCTGTACATCCTTCACTCAATTGTAATACTACAGTCTTGCAGTTCTTTGGGATATAATGCTGCTTGAATGCATATCTTGAGAAATACATAAAACATGACTACTGCAAAACTAATTGGAGAGGCTAACACAAGAACATTGTTTAGGAATACCTTTTTGAAACAGAGTTAGCAGTCAGGGGTATAGTGTGAAAAAGAGAAGAATCTTAACTCTGTCTGCAGGAAGAATTGTTAGAATATAGAAACAAATAGCTTTTAACTTTTGAGGGGTAACCTCAGTTCTTTTGAGTGGAATGACTTCTTTAGGAACAAACTAAATGAAAAAAACACTGAAATGGTCATTGTGTATGGGTAGATTACTTGAGTTATAGATTAACCATACCTTGGATACATTGAAATTCACCATGTCTCATTAGATTGAATGCTGAAGTGCATGTCATTATTTTGACTACATTGATATCTGAATTGCCTCTGGTTAGGAAACAGTTTTCTTGCTTTTAAGTGAAAGGAAACCTGAAAGCCTGCGATTACAGTCCAGCGTAAGCATGCCTCAGTAGTTTGTCAAGGGGAGTATCAGGGTTAGCAGTGA